CCATGAGTCACTGCTGGCCAGGTGGCAGAACAAGAGCACAGAGAGCGTGATTGAACTTCACAACAAAACGCCTGTGTGGAACGATGACACACAATCCTATGTGCTGAACTTCCATGGCAGAGTCACTCAGGCCTCTGTCAAAAATTTCCAAATCATTCACGACAATGACCGTGAGTTACTCGCATCTAAACTTTTTAATGATTATTATTGAATATAACTAACACAAACAATTTGCTTTGTAATAGTCAAGTTGTGTTGTACAAAGGAGGCACATGGTAGGTTTTAGTACAGCACATTTTTTGTTTCTATTCATTTCTTAATCAAAGGGAGGTATAAGACCTAAAAGTGTAAATAGTGAGAGAAAGTCATGTTAACAAATAAACAGTGTAAGTGGTTATACACAACAAGGTGTCCTGGTACAAAAACGTTTGGAGGCAAAGGACGCAGCAGATGCAGTCTTTTATTTCAAGTCCTGAACTCTGAATTCATTTATTCATATTAGATTAGCTTGGGTGGCCTATGGTTAAACTGCAGCTTTCTCAAGAACCGCTCATCCAAACAACATCACACTTGGTGCTCAGCAATACACATTAAAGTGTGAAGTCTGTAGGAAAAACTTTGGTCTGCAGGCTCAAAAGCAAATATACAAACCATAGACTGTTCAGATACAGACAGAAAGAGAGACCGACAGACATACTCGTACTGTTTTAGTTGAACTGTTACATAAAATGGAATGCTTTAGGTTGCCATATAATTAACAATAGAAATAAAAGGGAGATGAGAATATAGTTTGGAAGCAGCTAATCCAAAATGTGTTTCCTGTTATGTCTCCTCTGCAGCTGACTACATTGTGATGCAGTTTGGCCGTGTGGCAGAGGATGTCTTCACCATGGACTATAACTACCCGATGTGTGCCCTGCAAGCCTTTGCCATTGCCCTCTCTAGCTTTGACAGCAAGTTAGCCTGTGAATAGATCCCAGCCTGAAGTTCAGCAGAGAGCTGCTGCTTCTGTCCTCTCAACAAGGGCTGTCAATGTATCCTCTGGGCTGGTTTGAGATCTCAAAGTCGCCCAGTATCTTGGAGGTCCTGCATATCCCAAAATGCTTTATGGGCCTCACGTTTTGTGTGTTTGTGACAGTGGGGAGGTGGATTGGACCCTGTGATGGTCTTTGTCAGTGGAAGTAAACAAGCTCAAAGAGAATCCACTTTCAAAATACAATTTGTTTTAATAATTATAGTCATTTTATACTGTATTAGAATGACAAAAAAAAACACGGTTCATTTATGTAGTAGTTAGAGAAATTTAACATTTCTTTACCTGTAAATTATAACTAACATCTACACATCTGTACGTTTTAAAGGCTGACTGGATTTTATGTAATCTGCCACACAAAAATGTCACACTCTTACTCAAGCATGAGTTCTGCTTATATACTTACTGGAGAAAAAAATTAAAATGCACGTCTCTATATTTATTTAGTTAATTATGTATTTATTACATGTTTATTTTGTTTTCTGTTGTCATTCGCAAACAACTCAGCAGTTTTGGCTCCTTGGAGCTGCAAGCACAAAGATGAGTATCCCAAGTAGGAATATTTCCACACGAACAATTAGCCACTTGAAGGTGAACAGGGCAAAGGCATGTTACAATGTGCTGTGTACCATTATACAATATTGTGTCACAGTGTACAGTATGTGAATGTATAGGATGATGGTGCACTTTACTTTGAAGTCTGTAGTGGATGAAATATAGCTGTACATACTTCATTGTGCCTTTGAAGACTTATTCCAGTGTAATGCTTTGGCCATACAATGAGCTGAGCTTGAATTGGTCTTTGCTATTCTTGCTGTCCTCAAATGCATTGGACATAATTCTCTGTAGCTACTTTGCATTCAGTTGCCTAATGCAGAGTTATTTGAGACTGATTACATAGCTGGAGTTGCAAAAATAAATGATAATAATCCAAAGTGCAAATCATTGAATGACATTTCAATGAGTTTCCAAATAAATGTTGCAAAACACATTCAGGGCCTGGAATACAATTAGACCCAAAAGGCGAAATAATTATTTACATTGTACTGTAGATACGCAGCTGTTACAACATCCAAAGCACTCAGGCTTAAGTTTGTTCTAACCTTCTGAAGTCTTCTACTTGGGAAAAAAACAACCGATTGACTTACTGCCATCAAACACCAAGTAACAGGATACATCTGCCACAGCTTCATCTCTTGCTCTTTACAGCTTTGATTCATTTTATGCTCCACTGAAGTGGAGTTTGGTAAATTCCTCTTCTGACTGGCAGTCAGTTTCTATATCTGTGGTTTATTGCTGTTCACATTTTTACTTAAAACAGAATTCCTCTTGCTCCTTATGGGGCAGTATTATTTCTCAAATATATATATAGTATTTTGTATTCTATGACTATTAAAAAAAATGCTTAATGAAGGCAAAGAACAATCTCTGATACCGCTATTGTTACTGTGGATTATGAGGAAACCTTTATCAAATGTGCTATTCTTGTACTCAATTGTGTTCTAACTATTTTACATTTCTATTTTAAAATTGTTGATACTCTTGCTGTAAAGTCTGCTTTTCATACATGTGTCCAGGAACTAAAGGTTCTTTCACTTTATGTTTTTAGTGCTCTCGTTTTATTGTACAGTAAATGGTGTAAAATGTACTGTGGTGTTATAGACACAGTCCTCTGATCATGGAAAAAATAAAACTTCAGTGAGTCAAAATATGCGTTACTTTACTTTTTAAAATCACATGTTCATTACGTTAGTTATTTACTACAGTGAACATACCCTCTCTTTTCCCCAGTAAAGTCCAGTTCCAGAAAATCTGTATCGGACACCTTGTTTTGAGCTATACTCTATATATAGTAATGCCACTTTTTACACTAATGCTGAATCAGTGTGCAAGATTTTTTTTGTTTTAAATTATTTTTTTAAAATGTTGATATACTTCATTAATCCCCGTGGGGAAATTGTTTATTTGCATTTGACCCATCCCAGTGTTAGGAGCAGTGTGCTGCCATTTTGAATGGCGCCCGGGGAGCAGTGTAGGAACGGTGCCTTGCTCAGGGACACCTCGGTAGCACTTGGTCTTGCCGGGACTTGAACTGGTGCCAAGTCCCTATCGACTTCGCCACCACCGCCCTAGATCAATTAGCCTGGTAAAATACTGTATATGTTTTACACAGAAGAGAGTTAAAAGTATAAGATGCATGAATGAAACAAATATAAAAAGAACACAGAAAAACATTAAAGTTAAAAAGCAATGCTTTCTTTATTGTGAGCCGATGATTTTTACAAATATGTGAACAATATCATTGTTTTTAACCTTACCTAAGATTTTATTTAAGGAGTGGCAGTGTTATGTGAAAGATAGATGGTTCAGTTTAACTCTAGCACTCTCTACAATACTGTTCCAACAACTGCTCATATTCAAAAGAAGATACCAAAAATGTCTTTGATAAACTGTCAATGATCTAAAAACAGCTGTAAACCCAATGTTTTAACTAAAAGGTAACATATAAAACAGTTCAAGTTACAATTTATTTCTGAAAAAAGCTGACATGTGTGTTACCAGCCCCAATGTCCACAGGGAGAAAGATGCATTGGTCAAAAGGATTTGTGAGAACACTGAGGCTGTTGAAAATGATGAGTGCTGACTGCTGATAACGTGTTTTCCTTAAGCCGGTGAATGAAAACAAATTAAACCATTTCCGGATAAACTGTCTTGAGTTAACCCCTGGCCCTTGAGCTGTGCAACCCACTGGTCATAAACAGTTGGATAAAATGCAAAGCATTGATTTATTTGCTTTTAACTATGAAAGGTGAAAATAAATAAATTAGTATATACACCGTGCTCCCATCAATAACAAGCAGCAATAGGAAAAGCAGATAATGACTTGATGTTGTCAGGACACTTGAGTGTGAGTTTGTGCTGCTGTGGCAGCTGAGAGCTGTCTCATCACACCTTTATCATCTCACTGCACTTAAATAATTACATATATATTTAATAAATCTTCATGTTCACATTTACTCTGCATATTGACAACGTTTGTTTAAATGCAAAACTGCTACCAATTTCAAACGCCTTATAAACCACAGCCTCCTCCTGCTTTGATTTACTCTGTCCATCATTCAGTGATCCTATTTCCACGAGGCTGGTTGAGGAGGGGGTATTTTCAAAGCTCCCTTGATGTTGTTTATCATGTTGCTGTGTACTCTAAGCTGATATGCCGAATTACCGCAAACAAGGAGCATCCCCAAGGGAAGAACAATATTGGACCACAAGGTGGAGCCAAATATTGCACGACAGAGGTACTGTATTCTCATAAAGTCCTTCACATATAAGGAAGACCTGTGTCTTCTTGTGAACTCTCTGTTCCTGGTTTCAGCCCCCATGGCTTATATCTACCTTAACTGTCTGTATTCAACCTCTTCTGTTGTGCTCTTTTCTCTGTGCAATGTGTGACGTATTATTTAGTATATTATGGTATGAATGAAATTGAAGTGCACTTGTCACTGCTGGACATTGCTGCATTCCTGTCCACGTCGCCATTGAAAAAAAGGTATTTTATCTCAATTGTTCTTTATCTGGTTAAATAAAGGTTGAATAAAAATAAAAAACAATTGACATTTTCTGAATAAAAAGTAATAACAATAGCTACTAAAGTAATCCAAGGAGATCATAGATAATGAAAGCATTCTGTACCCACAACATTACTCTTATTTTGAAATGATAATGCCTTACATGATGAGCAGTCACAAACTTAAAACAAATATTCAGCTATTTAAAAGGTCGTGCACACCCACATATTTTGATGAAAGCATCCTTTCAGAGCAGCATTGCATGTCTTGATTCAGCCTGGGTTAAATATTCTACATGTATAAGGGATCAGTAATACAAGTAAACTTGAGGAAAATGTAGATTATGTTAAAAAATAATAAATAAAAAAAAAAGATTTCTAGGTAATCTGAAAAGTGTTTTATGTTTCCCTCCTGTTCCGCATCCTCAGCCCACTCACCCCGACTTCTTTATGCATGTCAGCATGGATAAGACCTTCACCCTCCACAGACTCTAACATTAACAGGAACTCTTCATCAAACTCCTCAGCTTCCTCCTCTGGGTTGGGACAACCCTCACAGCTGAACTGCAGGCTCTCTGCCTCCATCACTGGATCTTCCTCATCCACTTCCTCCTCTGTCCCATCATCCTCTTCCTCTTCTTCCTCCTCTTCTTCCTCCTCTTCTTTATAAGCATCCTCTCTAGGGTACTGAAACACATCTCTGTGTTCACTAAAGCTAATCTGCTTCTTCCCTTCTTTGAGACACTGTAGCTCTCTGCTCACCTCCAAACCAAGTCTCTCCGGCCTTCTTTCTGAAACAGGGAGGGATGAGGGAAGACTGAGCAAATGATTTTTCTCTGCTTGCTCTTCCTCTTCTTCTTCCTCCTCCTCCTCCTCCTCCTCCTCCTCCTCCTCCTCCTCCTCCTCCTCCTCCTCCTCCTCAACGTACTGCTCCATCCCTTCCTCTATGTCATCCACTTCTTCCTCTTTATCCTCAACGTCCTCTTCGTCCTCCTCCTCTGCCTCTTCATCCTCTTCTACCACTACAGATAGTTTCCTTGAGTTCATCTCTTCCTCCTCCTGATCCATCCTCTCTGCCAGGGCCTCGGCGGTGGGCTGGTAGGTGGGTTCCTCCAGCTTATAGATGTCAAACTCATGTCTTTTCCAGGGCTCATCATAATCTGGGTAGGTCTCCTCTGGGTAACCTGCATTGGTGTACAAAGTAAATACATTTTTTGATAAACAGTATGAGATGTGTTGCATGAAAACAGCTTTCATTACGCCGGTGACAAAATCTGATGCTGGAACAAAAGTGCATTTTGTTAAATGATGTGAGGAGTTGGATATTGAGATGTGTACCTTCCCAGTCTGCACAGTAGGGGGTCTCCTCAGCCTCCATCTCTGGGGTGGCTGCCTCCATCCGGCCCTCTTGTATCAGCTGTGTGATCTGTCTGAGTTGCTTGAGTAGTTTCTCCTCCTTCTTCGATATTGAAGTTTTACTCTTCTTACTTCTTCCACTAGAGAGCAGAGAAGAGAATGAATCAAATTCACTCAACATGGCAATGCTCTGGTACATCAAGCTGTGACAGTTTAGTAAAAGGTTCTTGTTTATATTACATTACATTTCTGTGTATAGCTACAATGCAAGACTAATACAACGTACTTAAAGTAGACGGCATCATTGAGTCTGAGTCGCTGTTTTTTTTTAGCTTTCCAAAAATAATGATTTAGTAGCATATCCAAATATGAATATTTTCCAATATACTATAAGCAATATAGTTTCTGTCTTCATATACATTGATTCCATTTATTAGCCTACTGCAGTGTTTTTCAAAGTGGGGCCGCTGACCCCCCGTTGAGGCGCATCCCATAGTGAGACATCGAACGGAGTGTTATGAATGAGAACTGAGTATCTGCTCAGCTTTTGGAGCAAGTGAGAGCTAGTGAATATTTCGCTCTGCAGCTGGATGAGAGCATGGATGTAGCAAATATTGTTGTTTATATGAATATAAATATGTTTATTGTTAATATTACTGTTGAATATTATATATAAAGAGCTTTCAAAAATGCTAAACATATATGTTAATTGTTCATATTACTGTTCAAAATTATATTAATATTATAAAGACAGAAATCACTTTAAAATATGTTTACTGTTGATATTACTGTTTAATATTGTGTTAAGAATGTTTATAACAGAAGACACAATCAATGTAATGAATGACAAACAAAAGATAAATACAAAAAAAATATATTAAGCTGTATGATTAATTTGTCATATTTTCCATCATAATGTACTCATCATTTAAAAAAAAAATTGCAACAGGAGGGTCCCCGCCAGACGATAATGCTAGGGGGTCCTTGGCATGGCAAAGTTTGAGAACCCCTGGCCTACTGTATGCAATTATGGTTTGTGAAAAAAGGACTCTAAATTAAGTAGCTGTCAGATAAAACATGGAGTGGACTTTTAATCTTCAGGCCTTTCATTTTCCATGCCAGTTCTTGTCCCAGTACAGTACGGCAAAATGGAGGATATCAAGACAAAAATAATTCTTACCTCCGAGAACAACGACTCTTTCCGGAGACAATCCTCTCCATCTTCTTTTCTGTTTGTAGAAGTTTCTGCTGAAGCCTTATAAGATCCTCATCGGGTTCTACAAGATTTACACAACAACTTTTAACATCAACACATAATTCTTTTTATGTAAATGTTAACATATTGTCTATGAACATTTAAAATATATTACTAGGAAGGAACCCAAGGGTTGTTAACATCCATGAAGGAAACACATATTTTTTAGAATACCACAAATACAATCCATCAATTGCTGCAGGTACTTACTAATCTTATTCTCCATGTTTGCTTTACAGTAGGATACTGTAGTGTAGTCTCTTGATTTCATAGTATTGCTCTTTATTGTCAGCTGTGAACACCAAAACACAATTATAATAAGCATAAAAGAGCATAACAATAATTTCTGGTCATTTTAAACAATCTACTCATTAAATTGCCAAGGAAGTACAAGTATGGTCACAAAGATCGCCATGGCCTTCGTCATTAGTATTTATTAAAAATATCATTCTGCAGTGCATGTAAAGCTGATTGATAACACTTTATACTCATAAACAATAAACTAATTTGTTTTGTTGTTTCATAAAACCTGCCTACCAGGTCAGTTATTGTACTCACCTTATAGATTATATAAAGAATGTAAAGAAGTATCCCAAAGCCATATATGGGTATCACTTGACCCATCAGGTTGTGTTTTTTGCCTTGTCCCATGCTTTTAAATTTGGCCATGACCTCAGCACTGTGTGTCAATGAGTAAACAGAAGGGTCCACGCCCCAGCGCTCTGGGTCCTCTGGCAATGACAGCTGGTGAATCACAGGAGGGTAGTACCCGGGTCCAACTGGAGGAGACAAAAATCATGAATGTATCCCTTATCAGAGCACATTGTTTCTTATTTCAGAAATGAACCATGCAATTAGGAGGGCTATGTTCTTCAGGGATTTGACTGTTGGTTGTTGCCACGCCTGCAAGTTTCCCAACATAACAAGTATTTTCCAATTGGTCAAATTCAATTATTCACTTCTATCCGACATGGATGTAGAAAGAGTGCAGTAGGCTACTGGGTCAGTATGAAGGAACAATGTGTTTTTGGTCAGACAGTCAGGGAGGGTAGACAGTATCCAATATTTTATAATAATTTGTGATCAAAATTGTGTTAAATAAATAGTCTGCAGACATATTTTACATTTCTTCAAAACATGTTTGACAACTACATGTTAGACGAATGAGGATCTAACAAATACCTAATATTTCCTGTTCATTCATTTTTGCCGCCCTGTTGCACCAATCAAATGCCGTCCTTTATGATCGTCAGTCGTGTCAACCAATTGGAATCAAACCACCATAAACAGGCTGTCCGTCTTGGCCGCAAATAAGCAGGTTACTGCCGTGAAGAGATGCGTGTGTAGCGTGTGAAAATTGTGGCCGTATAAGACTTTATTGTGGCCGTATAAGACTTTATTGTGGCCGTATAAGACTTTATTGTGGCCGTATACATTTGAAATTACACACTAACAAAGAGCTCAAACTAACGCGCGTAACTCCAGAATATCAAGTCAAAATACGCAATTTGCTGTTAGTCAAACGTTGTGTGGACGCTACCATGCGGTCACTATCAGCAATTGTGAAAATGTAATTACCATAGACATCAAATAAATTACATTCAAAACATTAATATTCAGTCATTATTTTCTTAACCTTGAAGAACAAGATGTTGCTGAAGAGAGGACAGACCTATCCCTGGACACACAAGGTAGACTACTGTTTTTTTGTTGATCAGGATAAAAGCTGTGTTTATTGATAATTGCTGGTCAGCGTCAGTGTTTGGTCACTGTTTAGGCTTTTTAGTGTTTGAACAGTTTTTTTATGTTGATGGTTGATCAGATTTTTTTTTAGACGATTGTTGGTTATTGATCATTATTTTTAGTAGCCTACATTATATTTCAATTAAAAAAACTTGAGCCTAAAACAATGCTTGAATGTATTAGTGGCAGACAGTCAGTATGTTGCTTTTAACTGAACCAGTCTCTGCACAATTAACTCATTTATAGGCCTCTGACCAAAGCTGTTAAAACTCAAATTGCAATCCTCCTTCTGAATATTTTTATCATAACTGGAGCTTTTTAAAAGGTAAAAAGTAACAATATATGGGCAGTGAGAATAGAATAGCCCTTTAGATTAATTTAAGTGTCCACGTCCTCCATCTCAAGTTACATTTATCAACAAATGCTGAAGCTTAATGTACTTCTGTGTTTTAAGCTACTTAAAGGTTAGTGTACACATTTCAGCTATTATTGAAAAAATGCAGCCCTAAACATATTTGGTCATGTGCTTGTGTGTGTATTTATATATACAATGGATTTTTGTGAATTAAAAATAAATCACTCATAAAAACATTAGGCTTATATATTTCTTCAAAACGTAGTCCATACACATGTTTTTCTGTCTTCTTCATATCCATTGTGTAACATAAATGCAAACATGATGATGACTTTGGCCTGGCACTCTGTATAGTCAAAGTAACAGCTGGCAACAACAACAACAACAACAACAACAACAACAACAACAACAGCAACAGTAAAATAAATACATTGGAGATGGAGCGGGATGGATGGATGATGATCTGATAAGCTTACCCTCAGGCCGTCCCATCTCCTTTTTCGCTCTGGGTAAAAGCATTCTAGGCAGAAAGAGAGACATACAGAGAACAGAGCATGATATAAGAGTAACCTTCTGGCAAGTAGTTATAGACATTTTGTCTCACAAAACAAAGCCATTTGTTTTGCATTCAGTTAAACAGGAGAGCTAGTATGAGTATACAGATGTGATCTCTCATCTGGTGACGTTCCTACCCAGATTAGACCAGATTATACCAGCTGCCTTCAAGTGCTGTTCGAAATATTGACCACAAATCCCCAGATAGGATTTCAACTGAGCGAGCGCATTTATTATTATTATTATTATTATTACAATTTACATACAAATGTGTTTAACAAAATGATGGACAAAGCAGTCTTGGCTGGATTTAGCTTTGTGGTTTTTGTATACAAATTTGGTGCACACATTTTAACACACAGATCTGGCTTAATGGGTGTGTGTGTTTTCCCCAGGAGGAGCCATAGGATCAAAACTTCTATGTCTCAAAATATATTTACTTTTTTTATTGTTTTGCCATGATATAGGATCATGGCTGCAACAGGCTGAAGCTGAACAAAAGAACAAGGAGGAGACATAACTAAGGTAAGCTGGCTGGGTTACTATGTGTTACGACTGGTTTAATGAGCAGTGTTTGTCGGGCTGATCAGAGCATGCTTGTGAAAGCTCTCTGCTAGTTGTAATTCTGGTTAGATAAAAGTGGCAGTAATGGCATTAGATGGAAAGTGCATTGTTTTATGATTGTTCAGAAGAAAAGAAAACACAGGCAGATGTTATTATACAAATTGTATACAGTACAGGCATGTCCGTCTCATTTTATATTGATCAGGTACATTCTCTGGGTTGGCGCTGTTATTCCTACTAATTTATATTTATTATTGTAATTGACATGGTGTCATGTCCCGGTGTGCCATTAAGGGCAAAGGAATGAGAGATTAGCAAAAATCGTCTTTATTGTTTTCAGCCATGATTTTTTTAGGAATGCTAAAACTAAGCTTAGTTTCATGACTCTGCACTGGATCAATGTGTTGTTCACACCTGGATACATGCATCCTCAACTGTTGTGTAACATTAAGAGGGTAAATTAGTTAAAACCTAATTTGCTATTTCGCCTCTGATGTGCAAGTGTTTCTTTGCTATTAGACAAACTAGCTTTGTGCTGTCTGATTTCTACAATATACATTCATTATTCCCAAGCAATGGCCCTAAATACACAACTAGCTTTTACAAATACGTTTTTTACGATGAGCACTTGAATGCAACAGACAACCTATTAACCCACCAGTCTGTGAACCCTCTGGTGTGTGTATCACACTATAGAGCAGCAGATGGCAGTGCAGGCTCAGGTACAGAGGTACAGCCTGTGGAGGACAGAGAGTTCCTACTCTGAGTCCCAACAGCAATGTCATGTTTAATAGAATTGTCAAACCATTTTTAGATTGTAGTAACTAAGGAGGATCTGGTGGTTGTTTTATTTTTCCGATATCCATCTGCACTTTTACCACAATTATAGCTCACTAGAGACGATACAGCTCATGTTTGACAATATCAGTCAGCTTCAATAAGACATCACTTCACCATCACCATCTGAATGAAAGTGTCTGCCTTAATATGAGGAACATTATCACAAACCTTATATGTCAAGTTTAGAAGTTTGGAAATGATTTCAAAATGGTGAATAGCTATTGGACAATCTATTTTACATACAGATACACAAATCATTAAGACACACATTTTAAAGGGCTAATGAAGGCTCAAAAGAAGTGGAGCGACATGAAGGGATACTCTCTCATAGTTGACTAAGAGTTTTTTGATAGGAACATATCAATATTTTACAAAACTTTCAGAATATATTTGAAAACATTGTGCTTAGGTTGTATAGTTTAATCATGCTTTAGAATTCATCCATACATATTTCTGTGTGTTAAATTGTGTTGATACATCCGTTGGGTTAATCTACTCAAACAGTTGTTTCATACATGTTTTTCCTCAATTTTAAACATTTAAAGGGATCAGAATTTCCAGTGCGGATAATGTCAATGATATGGGTCGTTGTCGTAATTTATGTTCCCCAGGGGCCGTATCTAGGCCCCATTCTGTTCTTTATTTATATTTCATTGTCTGTTTTGTTTTGTCTGTCCACCATGTATAGCGACCTTGGGTCCCGTGAAAGGAGCTTTATAAATTCCATTTATTATTATTATTATTATTATTATTATTATTATTATTATTATTATTATTATTATTATTATTATTATTATATGTCATCTCTAGGCCACCTATTGCATAGATCACCCATCAGTGTTCTTGATTATGCAGATGATATGCAGCTTCACTTATTATGCAATTCTTGAAACCCACAGGGATTTATCTGTCATCATGAGCATTCCAAAGTGGATGGCTCAATGTGTCCTACAGCTATGCAAATTAAACTAATAGTGTTGTATATAGTTGTGAAAATGCAGAAAATCTCCAGTGAAAACACACTGAACACTTTCTTGCATGCAACAACTTGCTGGTCACTAAGGGTATAAATGCTTCACTGTTAGTAGTCATTATATAATGAAATGGTTAATAAGGAGGTAGGTATATGGTTAATCTATTGTGTGGCACCGCAGTTTAATCTGCAACTTCGAACCTCTAGATTAGGCTGTCCTGGATACCCTGTCTGAATATGTTCACTCATGTTTAATGATTATTACTTCAAGATCTTTAGTTTTTTTCAGTGGTGAGCATTTTAGAGCGACGCCAGCTTTATTTGTTGTTGTTTTTGTTTTTGTTGTTGTTGTTTGCACTGTTTGCACTTTTAGCATTGTTAGCTGCTTGTTGCAGGCCCGGCTGTTGCCATGTTGAGAGTTGTGTGAAGGCTACCTCTCCATCATAGATATGCTCTGATTTCCCTATTTAGCACCTTAAACAATACTTATTTAAACATCAGTTGGCCTACCTTGAGCTTACCTATGTGTCTAGTTTTAAGTCATTTTACAATCACTCCCTGCAGCTAGCAGATTAGGAAGTTGCCCAGTTGAGACTTATTTCCTACCGCAAAAACTATAGCAGGGGATTCGGTTAAAGAAAGATTATGTATAAGTGTCCTGATTGGCGTCTTATTTATTCAGCAATGTATATGGGCTTTATTTAATAAAACATTTTTCAAGGATGTTTAAAACCTTTCCAGCCAACGTACGTTGTGGTCCAGACCAGTAGGTAGGGGGTAAGTGACTATTTCAAATGTTTTATCACTTATCTTCATTTCAGAACTTTTGGTTTTCCTATCCTGATAGTATTGGAACATTTTAGCTTTTACTGATTTTAAATGCTTATGACTTAAACAAACATTGTATCTACAATATAGCTGAATATTCTGTCATAGCTGGCATGGATGAACATTATTGGCCATGCCATACACCATCCATAAGCTTTTAATCCTAGGAAACAAATATGCATTTGTGTACCCTCTCTGGATGAATGGATTATAGATTATCACTGCCAACCAGCATATGATGCCAACAGAGATTATGGCTGCTGTATGTTGAATAAAGCAGATACCAATGTTTGGGAAATGTTGGCACCATAAACTACTTCAAAGTAATATGGACGTGCTGCAGTATAGAGGGTATTAGAGATTTTATTTGCAAGGATTTGTTTTCGTAACAGACTGGTGTTTTAAAAACTGTTCAGACTTGAATTGCCATTTTCAACTTGCTCCCTGTTTCTGTTTTCTATTCCTATTATTCTAGTCAACTCAACTGTGAACTGGCTCAAAATGTATTCCCATATTTCCCCATAATTGCAGCATTGTTGAAATAAGACTTTCATCGTTCTCATGGAAACCCCTGAGTACACATCAAGCTGTGCAATTACTCAAGAAATAAACCCGCTAATGTCAGAGTGGTGAAAATATCACAGTGCACTCCCATTCCCAAAATCCAGCTGGGAAGTATTACATTTTGTGTGCATATTCACAACCACAAGCGCTTTTTAAGAAATGACATGCAGACTGTTGGCCCGGTTTGGATGGTGCCTTTGATGCTTTGTCTTCCGTAGTGATGCCATACTGGAGGTATGTCCAATTCACTGCAGCGTGCCATACTGTTACAGTAATAACCTCACTTGTCTTTTATCTGTTTACTGTGCCTCCCTCTTATCAAGCCTTTAATTACTTAATTATTCTTCATTGGGCTCAATTAAAACACAATGGACTCTGCTGCTGCAAAAGTCAACGATTTCTGCTCCTGCACAGCAGTGTGCAAAGCACAGAAGAGATAGGCTTTTGCAGTTTGGCCTTCTATTATGTACTTGGAATAAATGAGATTCTGTTTTTCTTTGGATGAAAGTCTGGCCTTTCTGATTATTATGCTAACAGCAAAATATAACATTGACTTTTATAAAATGTTCATGCTCCCAGAGTCGAGTGAGGAATAGATTCACATATATGGCAATCAACGCACCTTCCCCAAACAAAATTACTTTTTAGAAATATAAATCGTTTTCTTTCTCTATTCATGCGAGTGATTTGTTGCGCAATGTCACCTTACTCAATAGGAGCAGACCAGGTTTTTTTCCCCTCCTTCCCGTGCCTCTATCCAAATCAGTCAATTTATTTCCAAATTGCATGTCGAGTGTAGGAGCAAGGGCTTATGGCAGTATATTAAATCAATGAACTCCTACAGTGTATATTTAGAGGTTTAATTTTTTCCTCTTTTTTCTGATATTGATGGGGACGCACCTGGCTTTGAGTTTCATGAAGGACACACTGTCACCAATTTGAATCCTGTGTATTCATACAGTAGAAGAAAGACAGCTGTGAAAAGTGAATGAGGTGGATTAATGGAGTCGAAACATGCTTTACAATATAGGCAAGACCTTGACTGTCTTTTAGTTGTATGGCTTCCATTGTGCACATTTTAATTTATCAGTATAAGAAAGACATACACTATCACTAAGAGATGCAATTTAAATTTGTGTTGCTTTAATGGACTATCATGAACAAAACAAACACCCTTCTCGTTGCATAGAGCTTGTATGTGAGCCCTTTTCATTATTGCACATTTACAGCTTATGTAAAAACATGTTTTTCTGTTTGTGACGTATACAGG